CTCCATTCTGCACATCATCCTTTACAAAAGACATAGCAAATGGCCCAAAGACATTCAAGGCTAATTAGAACGTACTGTTACCAAGAAATAGGCTCACCCCTACCATTTAACTGGTCCTGAACTTGATTCCTTGGAGCCTGGTGCAAGGAAAGCTAATACTGTAGGTCAAATATACTTGAGAAGGCATCATGAACCTATTAACTTAAAACTATTTTATATATGCCAATATGGCAAGTTTTCTTTTACCTATTTCCTTCCACACATTCTACAATGTATGTGTATTAGACCTGTACTCTAAAAAAAATTACATTTAAATCCACATTGTTCTGGATTTTAAGATGAATGAATTACAACAAATCCCAATAACTGAATTTGAGCTGAAATATCAAGTTAATAATAAATTTATTGCTTCCTATAGTTTGACTCCTCAAATGAATAACAGGATCACATTTTCTTCATCCATAACTGAAGAGTTACTTCACGTAACAAAAAAGTCATATCATCTCACTGCACTTTGTACAGTTCATCATCATTTATTTGTTTATATTTCTGAGATGGAATTCAGTGATTTCATTTCCTTTAAAACCCTTAACCAATCAACTAAACCTGAAAAGGGTCTCAAGGGTAGATTTCTTGCCAACAGAATTGTAAAAAATGCTTCCAATCAGTGGCTGGCCTTAATTGTTGCAAAACTACCCTAATTCTTCAAGTTACTTTCTTTTCTTTTTTCAAGATTAAATCAGAATGTAATACAACTACTTTCCAGAAACAAAACTTTCAGTCTTCCAAGCTACCATCAAAAATCAGTCTAAGTTTTGTCATGAGCAACAAGGAGATTTTATGCATAATGGATGGTCCCACTACTAAAACCTTCCATACTGTCTCCAAGTCACACACACAAAAAAGGCATAGGGCCCTGCCTCAGTGTTTATGGATGCAAAGGAACTCTTCTCAGAGGGGTGTTTACTCAGGGCATTACAAATTCTTCAATTACATGCTATAATCTGATTATGAATAACAAGGGACCAATGTACCAGAACAATACAGACAGAGCAGTGTAGATAAGAATTGTCTTTTGAAATGTCTTTTTTTTTTTCCTCTTACAAAATCAGAGAACACAGGGTGAAAAAGGTCTTGCCTGGGGGGGTGGTTGGTACCAGTAAGATGGGGAGAATGGGGGGAAAAGGATAGGCAGGTGAATATGGTGTGAATACTGTGTACACATATATGTAAATGGAAAAATGAGTTCCTATTCTAGGAATGGAAGGAGTAGGGATAAAGGAAATTGATGGAGGAGGTGAATTCAAGTATGATATATTTAATATATTTTAAGAACTTTTATAAATGCCACAATGTACATCCACCTAGCACAATAAACAAATAAAAAAAAATTAAATAAATAAAAAGAGTGGTCTTTTGATTTGTGAAATTTATTTCTTTTTGGTAATAAAACCAATAGTAAAGTTTATTAGGAAAGGAATCTAGCATAATAGGAAAAAAGTAGGAAGAACTGGGGGAAAAGGGGAGAAGCATTTCTTGCTCCCTATGCAGGAAGTTTGCTTTTTGCTTTTTATTTTTGTTTTGTTCTGGGTTTTGGTTGTTGTTGTTTTGGGTGGTCCTTAAGTTTGAACTCAGGGCTTCATATTTGCTAGGCAGGAGCTCTACCACTTAAGCCACATCCCCAACCCATGAAATTTCTATTAAAACGGTGGACAAACAACTAGTTGGCTCCATTTTTATTTAAAATAATGGGTTTTTGTTTTGTTTTGTTTTGTTTTACTGAAAAAAGTAATGTGGGTCAAGAGGCTGCAGTAAATTGGTGCTTTTATGCACATTTACTGCTCAGCTCCTGACATTTAGAAATGATAGCTAAAAAATAAGAATGGGAACCCCAAAGACATCTCAGGCTTTACACAATATAAACATCAACAAAATATGCAGTCAACAAAATACAAAGCAGTGGCAGAAACCAAAGTTACAATCTTAGTAGATTATAGCGAGAGTCTTACTATGTAGCCCAGGTCGGTCTGGAACTCGTGAGCCTCCTGCTTCAACCTTCCAAGGGCTGGAATTACAGGGGACTGCTACCATGCCAGGCTCTAGGTTCTTATATTTGGAAGGAATTGGTCAAAAACAAGTCCTTAGGGAACACAGCCAAATCACATCTTAGAAATTGTGTTTTTTAAACAACTGCTATCTCAGATTGTTTTCACATCACATTTTGAGTTTATTTCATAATGATATTCTTGAATTCCTGAGTGTACTAATTAAAAACTATGTTTGTGAATGCTTAATTTTTATGAAAATCAAAATTGATTTATGAAAATTTCTTCTGATTCTCCATTTAAAGCAATTTGCTCCCCCTTTGTTTTTATTTGTCTTACAATTTCTCTTTTCTGTTGTTCATTTTCCTCATATACCTGCTTGTCTTAAGAATCTAAGAACAGAAGGCAGGCATAGTAGTGCATGGTTGTAATCTCAGCTACTCAGGAAGTAGAGACAGGAAGATGTTGAGCTGCAGACCAACCCTGGCAAACTGAACAAGACCCTATCTAAAAAACAAAATACAAACAAAAGGGCTGAGGGGCATGGCTCAAGTGGCAGGGTACCTGTCTAGCATGCTCGAGGCCCTGGGTTCAATCCCCATAACTGAAAAAGAGTCTGGTGTGGGTTTCCTCTGATGTTACTGTTAAGTGGATTTAAGTAGGCAGATTTTCCTGTAATTCTCACCTAAGTGAAGTCATAATCAGAGTACTGTGTACTAGAGTATCAACTGTTAGATTTCAGTTTTGAGTGAGTGGGTAAGGAGTGAGTGGGGACCTCCCAGATGCCAAAAGAGGAATTTGCTGTAGACTATTAAGATTTGACTAGATGTTTTAAGTTTTCCTTATGAGGTTCTGTGCAACTTTTGATGGAAACAGCCCCACAGTCTTTTTGCAGGAGAGAAAATTCCAGCTGCCTGACTTCTGTAGAAGAGGTGAAAGAGAGAAGGAAGGGGCAGCTATGAGCTTTGGTTCCACCTCTCAACTTGAAATTCTTCTGACTCAGAGCATCTGGGAAGTTTCAAAAGGGAGTTTGGCTTCTGTGTCTCTCATTAAATAGATGATCGGAAAGTAATATATTATGGCAGTATTATCTTTGTTTCCCTTCCAAATGATGAAAAGCTTCACTGACTTAAGTTGAACGCTATGCTCTCAACTTTCACAGAACCATTTAAGAAATATTTACCATCTACAGGACATTTTGGGGTCTTTTGCCAAACTATATTTTCCATTATGTCACTTCAAATCCTTTCTATAAAATCTAGCCTTAGAAACCAGATAATTAACTGATACAAGCTATAATGACTCACCCAGCTAATAGAGCTATCCTGCAATTAAGAGTCTGTGGTCAGAGGACCAGGTGACAGAGTCATATTGGAAAGTCAAGTTCACTGTCACTGCTAAAAAATAACTCCAAGCAGAACGTCCTAGCTGATTGGTTGGTTGCATTGTTCTTACTCACGAAACTACAGAATGCTTTAATCTTTCTGCCTTGTCTTGATGTTTCTACCAAAAATAGAAAAACTGGCCCAGAATGTAATCATAATTTTCAAAAAACTGTCGTGGAAAACCCAAGTGACAAAAGATACCTATGCAACTGAGTCATGGGTTATGAAGAAAACATCTTCACATAAAAACTCCATGTTTGCTATGAGGCTGAAAGGGAAAACGAGCTTGACTAGAGTACTCAACTCTATGTAAACAAGAGGAGTGCCACCAATTGTACTCAGTACAACCTACAGAAAACAACTTCCTTGTTCTGATACTTTTTTTTTAATGTCAAATATTATCTGTTAAGCACCCTTGATCACCACTGAAAAGTCACATCAGAGAAACATACGCGACAAGAGAAAGACAAAAGCTGGTGAGTCATCATGACATACATTTGAAAGGTCTTTGAACACCTCCACTGGCTATAATTTGGATATGGTATAGGTAACAATACTGGAAAACGAGGATTAGCATCTCTCAATAGCAACCCCTCCCACACCAAAATGAAGGCAACTTATCCCAGGAGCTGGTTTCATAGGAAATAGAACAACCCATTCCTCTCCCTCCAACAGCTGGAGAAGGTATTTTTCAGAATATCACATTTCCCAGAAGGCTTAGCAAGGCACGGTATTTGGGAAGAGTCTCCACCACTTGCCAGAATCTTGAGCAAAGTACTTGAACTCATTAAACTTCAATTTTGTCATCTGTAAAATGGGGTGGTGATTTCTTCCTTATAAAATAATATTGCAAAGATTATCATAAGGCTTTTTATATATTATATATAATTATATATGTCATATTATATATGACACAGAAGTGGATTAATTTTCTTCATAGACAAACCAAGTGTACAGGACATATGAAAAATGGGAGCCTCCAAACTCAAAAGAATAGGTAAAAGTGTCTTCTCCTTCCAAAGGAAATTATGAAACTAATCATTAATTTTTTTAAAAAGTTATAATTTTTCATACTTTTAAAAGTTGCTTTTGATACTTTGTTGCTGTCCATTTTGAGTCATGTAGAGAATGGCACTGCACATTTCACAGAGCTTGATTACTTGAATAATATTCATCTACCTCTAGTCTCCTCCTCCCTCCCTGGTCTCTATCTGGGACCTCCCCCCAACACAGACACCCAACCATGTTATTAAATTGTTATGCCCAAATATTTTAATGTATTTGTGCAGTGTGCTTAGGAGCTAGCTTTAGATTTGCATTGAATTCTCCTTTTAAAATAATTCAAGGTCATGCACATCTGTATCTGTCATGTTTGCTTATTTTTCACCTGTTCTTTTAGTTTACATTTTCCTATATTGTTTGATGTATTATAACGCTCCCACACTCTGGTGACTGACGGGCTTTTCTGGTCCATTGTGTGGAAAACAAATACATAAACAACTAGCCAAGAAAGGAGAAAATTAATCACAAATGCATAAGCAATAAAAATTTTAAATATAATAAGACTTACTGGTTTTCCACTCTTTGACATTTTTGTTATGAATGAGAACTGGTGTACAGCAAAGCACACCAGGTAAGTGCTCATGGGGACAGACTTTGCAAAAGTTGTTCGGTTCCATTTTTCATCCACGGGCTCAGATGTCTATGGAAAACAGAAGATAATCTTTTGTTTATCAATAGATCAATCATGTATAAGACAAACAAATGGCTCCCTAAACCCCACTTTCAAGTCAGAAGTTCTTTGTTAAAGGTCAGGGTTTGCTTGTGATGATGTTGGAAAGACTAAAGGATATGGTTTCTACAGAATGCATTTCACTTTTTCACCATTATAAATTCAAAACAAATTTTTAAAGAAACTAAAGGAAAATCTGCTTTATTTTTGGCATGTGAAAGACTGAATTATACGGTATATTAGGTTCCTCAGGTTGTAATAAAATTTTGACTGTGATATCAACTGGACAGGACTATCTCTCTTTACACTAATCGAACAATCCTACCATAATATTTTAGTGGAGACTGTGAAAGAAGGATAGGTTCAATGTCTGGTGGAGAAGAAGAACTAAATGAACATTTGCTGATTTGCTTATGTGCAAGAGAGCAAGGGATGTATGTTGGCTTCTCTTTTCCCATTCTGGTTATCTACATCGAAGACCTGAGGTCCATACCTTGGTTAATGCCTGTTTACCATGGGCAGAGAGGGATTACCTTGCTTGACATAACTACTAATCTATCCAAGAGTTTTTTTTTTTTGTCCATACTAGTTCTGCCCTCCCCTCTATGAATCACCAGTCCTAATACTTCAACCATGAATACTTGCCCAATTCTTTTGGCCATAATTCCACACATTATTTAAACACACATCAAATGCATAAATTATGGTAAACTCCAACCTTGAATCAAAGACATTCTAATTAACTACATAACACATTATGAAGAAGATGAGCAATAACAGAGGGAAGAGTACTATGTTAATTAATAATTATTGTAGCCTGCTATTTATTTAACATTTGATAAGCCCTACCTATTCACCAGAAAAAAATCTACGGAAATGGAGTTCACTTCTATAACCTGTATTTAAGTAATGTTTTTTTTAAATAATAGTTTTATCTATTTACAAAAAGTATAAACAGTGAGCTAATGATACGCAGGGGAGCCCTGGAATATTTTAAGTCTATAGCTCCATTAGTCAGTCTGTCATCATCTTGTCATGACTAGGGGATTGGGTCCATGAAAGCCAAGCTCCAGAGGTCCTATGTCTATTATATTCCCTTATGCTTAAAAACTCCAGAGTGATTTTATTATTGGACTGGGATATCTTAGGTTGACAACTTCTAGAACTCAAAGAAAAAGAGATTGTGAAAATGTAGTTTTTGCTCTTTTAATCAACAATTAGTGCACAGTTTTAGAATTCAGTAGGATCCCTTCCATAGCAAATCAGGTAATTTAGGTAATATTGTAAGCACACTATCTGCATATAAAAAATAATTTAAAAATACTTACCTCCACGGGCATATTTGAAAGTGCAGCGTAATCTGTATGGTGGATGATAGAAATTGTGTAAGTTGCCTTTTTGTTGGGCTCATCAAAACAGGGGAAGGATTTCCTGGCATCTGTTGGTTCGTGATCAGTGGCTGCAATACTCCTTAAAAATAAACACACAAACACAATGCATGCTGCCGTTTCTGACAGCCAAGTTTCTGTGCATACAGAAAACAATGAACTATGTAATTATAACTCTTACATTTCTCAACCTGAATTACCATCTAAAGAACTAGCAAATAGTCTCTCCTGAAATGTTTAGGTTAACAAATAAATGGAAATCCAGAGACAGACTACTTCCGATATTTTATCCCAATATTTAGATATTTTTCATGCCATCACTAAAAATCTGCTAGATGAGCAAAAACAGAACCAATTATGAGCTATGGCACTTTCCACCCCAAACCATTGAGCTACAAGGAGATAAACACAAAGTCAGACTCAAAGGTCTGTTTCTAACTGTCCTTGAGCACTGAGCAGCTGTGCTACATCACGGAGCAGAGATGCGTCCCCAGCCCCTACTCCTAATGACACAGCCTTGTTATTCCTGTCACACCAGGGACAAAACTCATTTCATTTCCGTGCAAAGGCTGTGCTAACAACATCCAGGTGAAGCCAGCTTTGGCCTGGTGACAGCCCACTTTAGGAGGCTGGGGTGCAACTCAGTGGTAGGGCATATGCAAGGCCCTGGGTTCAATTCCCAGCATCAAAAATTTTTTTTAATTTAGAAAGTCCACTTTTGAAAAAGAGATATTAGCATTCTTCTATGACCCACACTAAGCATATACTTTACTTGTGTGTATGAAAATATTAATATTTAACATTTCTAGAATTTCAAAGTGAAAATATTTTTGAATAATTTGTCTAAAAATCAATAAACATATGCTTTTTATGTGTAAGCATATTACAATAGGAGAATAGTGCTGTGTATTTACTCATTGAAAAGCTTAGCAAAGTAAGAAGTATAAAAGAAAGGAAAAGTAAACAAACATTGATTTGTATTCATTAATAATTTGTGTAAGGAAAATATATTGTCCTTCAAGACTCTCAGGGGCTAGGGAAGGCACATCATAAGGAATATCAAACTAAATTATTAGCTCATTCACTCATCCCACAAACATGAGCCCAATCCCGCCAATGCACACGTACGGGTGTGCACACACTCTCCTTTGCAGACATTATTCTGGGGGCTAAGGAAACAAGAAAGACTACACAGACAAGGCCTATGATGAGTTATGAGGTGGCAGACAATAGGCACATAAGTAAGTAAGTAATTTTGGAGAGTGATGAGGACTGCGCAGGAAATAGGACAAGAGAGCAAGGGAAGAGGATGGGCAGTTCCGGTTAGTCAAGAGGTGAGTGCTTAGAATAGATGACAGTGTCCTGCTCTGCCCAAGGACAAACAACCAACAGGGGAAGATTAAGGAAAGCAGGTTCTTAGCAGAGAGAACAGTGAACGCCACGCTCCTCTGGGGGCAGGGGTTGGCGGACGGTAACATCACGTGTTTGAGGAACTGAAAGAAGTCAAATGTGGTGGAAGCAGAGTGAACCAGGGGACTGAGACAAAGATGAAGCTGCCAGCTCCACACAGGCCAGATGGGGGGACTGTCACAGGCTCTGGGAAGTGTATGCATTTTATTATACATATTGATTTCTCTAAAAAGTAATATGCAATAGTCAACATTCATCCAAGAGAAAATATAATAGTCCTAAATTTTTTTCTAAAAACCTTCTAGGTATAAAAAAAACTTGGCCAAGAAAACTATGGCTGCTTTTCTGAAGAATAGCGACTGAAGGAGGGAACATTCTCAGATGATTGAAAAATTCTGCCCTCATATGGGTGTGGGCAACAAAATTGTGTATTTTTCTACGAGGTGCTTAAACTGCTATTTTGCTGAAAAGCACTGACTCCTTATTGGGTCCACGAATTAACTAAAAACAGGAGAAGCTTGACATCCCTGCCTCTATTTTGTATCTGTCTTTGCTATAAGCCATTCTCTTTGCAATCACTTTGCAATCACTTTGGATTCCAGAAAGGACAAAAGTGATAACATCTTTATGACAAGGGACTGAAACTTCCCTTAAGGAACAGTGGACACTTATAGGACAGACCACCCTCCAAATGAGGACAATGACCTATAATGATGAGACTGCACCCTGGAGCAGGAGCAATCATCTCATGGGAACCAAATCACTCCCCTCAAGTGATGACAATGATAACATCTTCTCCAGAACCCCTCTGGGAACTCTTGGGCTGAGATAATTGTCAGTCAGAACACACCTGTGACTAGGACTGTTTAATTATGAATACCTTTATCCCCTGTCCCCAGTTCTTTTGTCTATTTAAACCTATAGCTTATGTCTGCACCCCAAAGAGGGTTGAAGATGGAGTGAATGCTTACTCTGCTTCTTCCCACGGCATGTCCCAAGCCATGCCGTCACCATGGTGAAGCCCTGCCTTCACCATGCCTCTTTATTATGGGGTATGGGGAGAGTGGCCAGGCCTGGCATATGGAATCTCAGAAGTCTGGGCCTTGGGTCTAAAACTCCAGTTTCATTTTGTCAAAGTTTACTGAATTGTGATCATTAGATTTGAGTATCTCAACATATATCAATTTAATTCAAAAATAGCTGTAAATGAATATTGAACTCTAGCAAGTAGGTTTGCATTTTTGCAGAGGTATGTGTTAGTAATTAGAAAATAATCTTTGTTTTCTGGGTTTGCCAAATGAAGAAGCAAATAGAGGATAATGGTAGATTTCTCACTGTTGGGGAAGACTTACACATTTATAAAGGGAAGATTAAAACGTGTCCTTAGGATGAGTGTGATGGAAATACTATGTACTCAGGTATGTAAATGGAAAAAAATGAGACCTGTTGAAAATGTTCCAGGAATGGGGGGAGTGGTTAAAGGAGAATGATGGAGGGGGTGAATTCAACAATAAGAACTTCAGTGAGTGTCACGATATACCCCCAGTACAATAATAATAGAATAATAAAAAAAAGTATCCTTAATACTGAACTGTAATTTTAATTTCATTATGAAATCAATGATTTTAATACATGATTTTTATAATATTTTCAATTTATTTTAATATATTTCTATATATGGATCTAGAAATACACACAAAGAGACGCAGTTCCTAACTTTACCAAAAAAGACTGCATGTAGTAACAATTAGTTCCTGGAGGATTTCTAAATACCATTCCTTACTGAAAGGAACCAGGATTCCTTGGAGAAATGGCTGATTCAAGTGCTGTGTCAGGAAAAGTCCAAGATGATCTTGGAATATTTTGTTGTGCTCAAAGAATCATAGGAACAAGTCAAAAGGACACAAGAGCCTGCCTGACAAGATCACCACTGGCTAAACCTGGGGGTGGGGGGTGGGGACTAGAACATCAAAATAAATAATGGGATTATAACCCATTAGATAAATTCAGAATCCATGGATCCTTACTCTGATTTTTAAAATGAACAAATAAATAAATAGGGGAGAAGAGAAGATTCTACCTTAAATTACAGAATTTCTTTTTTTTTTTTTGATGGGATTAAGGTTTGAACTCAGGGCTTCACACTTGCAAAGCAGAGGCTCTATCTATCACTTTAGCCATACCTCCAGGCCTTGTGAACTATTTGACTGTGCTGACCTCAGACCTTGATCTTCCTAAGTACCTAGGATTACAGGCATGAGCCACTGGCTAATTATAGATGATTATAGATTTCTATTTTATTTTATTTCAGAAGATCAAACCTAGGGCCTTCAATGTGCCAGGCAAGCCATTTCCACCACTGAACGTCATTGCCCAGCCCTTAAAGAGTAATAATTTGAGAAAATCTTCAGTGGGTGCCAAAACAAGTGGGTAAAGTTTGAAAAGGAAAGGACTTTGCATGTTTCAAAAAATCTCCAGAAAACTGCCTATCAAAAAAGCCTGTCACTTTTCAGTGGAGGAACCTGTGGGATGGTAATTTATGCAAACGATTTAAAAGGTAGCATCACTGACAGTAGTTGGCTTGCAATAGCACTAACAGTAAAGGTCTCCTGAGCCATAGACAGCATCACTTCTGTGATGCTCCTGACAAAAATGCTTGACTTGCATTTTTTAATTATAACGAGAGTCAGACAAACTAAAACTGATGGCCAGTCTCAAAATAACTGGTCTGTACTCTTCAGGAATACTGACATTGAAGGATGGGGATATAGCTCAGTGGTAGAGTGTTGCTTAGTAAGCCAAGACCCTGGGCTTAATCCCTAGCATTGATGAATAAAAGTTAACACTGAAAAAGATGAGGAAGGACTAAAGGACTATTCTGTTTTAAAGGAGTAGGGGAGTGATAGAGGGGGTGAATTTGATCAGGATACCTTATATGCACATGTGGAAACACCACAATGAAAATCCTTTGTAAAAGCTAATGCAATGCATAAATTGAAGCTAGATATCAGACTGGGAAAAAAATTTATAGGACATTATTGGGTTAATTGATGAAATTTGACTATAGATCAAGGATTTGAAGATTGTTCCAATGTTAAACTTCCTGATTTGTCAATCATCCCATGATTATGCTAGAGAATGCCTCTGTACTTAAAATACATTCTGATGTGGATAAGTAAATGGAAATGTCTCAATGTTGAGGCAGAGAAAGGGAGGGAGAAAGTGAGAAAAAGGAACAAAATGCAAATAATTGGTCAATCTGGGTACATTATTTCTACACAATATTCTTGTAATTTTTCTATAAATTTGAAATTATTTCAACTTAAAAGTTACCCAAGAAAAGCTTCAAGAATTCTTCAATAGAGTAATTATTGAGGACCAGGTGTGGAGGTACATGTCTATAATCCCAGCTACTTGGGAGGTAGAGATTGGAAGGATCAAGGTTCAGTGACCAGGCAAAGCGTTAGTAAGACTCCCATCTCAACCTTTGAGTCAGGTGTGGTCGTATGCATCTGTAATCTCAGCTACACAGGAGGCATAGATAAGAAGACTTCCATCTGAAGGCAGCCCTGTGCAAAAATAGGCCACCTTATCCAAAAACTGACTAAAGCAAAAAAAGAGCTGGGGGCATGGCTGAAGTACTAGAACACCTGCCTAGCAAGTGCAAGGTCT